TGTGCCACGTAGCGCTCTGACAACCAACAGTGACTGGAAACCTATGTCATATCGGAAATGTGTAGAAGTTTTTTTTTAAATACATTTCCCATTAATAGCGGCCATACTATTATCGCAGGCGAACAATCCGATATCGCTGTACGTCCGGTCAGTGATTCAACGTCATATTGGAAAGTGTGTAGATCTTTAATATTTCGACTAATATTCCAGTTGTAGTCTCGAAAGTATATTACTTGAGCGAACTTCGAAAAATGTACGAATATTCGAATAACGATGTACTACATTTCGTTTTCCGTGATTCTATGTTATGTACGTGTATATATACATATATATATATATATATGATATATATATAGATATATATATATGTATATATACACGTACATAAACATGTGATTCTATGTTTATGTACGTGTATATATACATATATATATATATATATATATATATATGATATATATATATGATATATATATATATATATATATATATCATATATATATATATATATATATCTGATATATATATATATATATATACATATATGGAACATGCTATGCTGTGTTATCGAAAAACTGTAATTTGAAAAGAATATATACATCGAACGGTTCTAATTCTATTATACAGGGTGTCCGCAAAGTTGGGGTTATCCTTTACACGACGTGTAGATCTTGAAAACATAAGCAATTTTTCTTAGTGCCATATACACCAATATCTTAAGGGAACCGAGATAAAGGGCTCTGCAACATCAAAAATATCTGAATACCGTCCTGTAGCCGCCACCCGCCGCGATGCCCCAGACAGGTACCGGCTACTAGCTGAACCCGACGACAGAACTGGGTCGGGGGTGGGGGTCCGAGTGTCAGGTCAGTATGCAACCTTCAACCGACGGTAAAGGGTCACGCGTATAGAGGTATAATAAATATAATAATAATGGCACACTCATATACCAATAATGAACTCGTTGATATGTTGTTAATTTATTAATGAACGTCTTCAAAATGATACAGAATCGTCGCGAGTGTATGCAGATCTTTTCCCTAGACGACATCATCCAAGGCCCCGCAGATTTGTGTACCCGGTCCAGAGAGTCAGGGATACGGGCCATTTGGAGGAATATCGAGGTGGGCACAGTGGGAGGTCTAGACAACCACGAATGGTGCTAGTTGAGGAAGAACTACTGAATCGCGTAGACGAGAATCCCTCACAAGCACTAGAGACGTGGCTAGAGAAGTGCGAGTATCACAAACTAGAGTGTGGCAAACGTCCAACCTGACGATTTTCCAGCAAGAGTGCGGTTTTGTGAGTGGTTGTTGCATCAACATGACAATAATCCGGACTTTTTGAAGTGCATATTGGTGACAGACGAATCTACGTTCACACGTAATGGGGTCAACTGGAGAGTGAGTACTTTTTCCTTTATATATTTTTTTTACATGGTCGGCCCTCGTTTCACTACGCATTACCTTTGTTATTTCAAGGGTAGTTGTTTCTGAAAAGGAAAAGCCCAACTTTGCGGACACCCTGTATTAACCTTCGGAAATCGTGGATACCCTTATGTTGACTGATTTCGCTGTTGAACAATAAAAACAATGACACTCCGTTAATACTATTAACTGTTAGAACAAGTTACCATACACCGATCCGCGGGGAAAGGAATAAACGATAAGTAATCAATTTTGGGCAGTTAACATCAATTAAACTCAGAATACCAAAATAAAAAGGATTTTCCGTTGGCAATATATTCGGTCTGCTGTTACTTATGGGCTATAAATGTATAAAAAAAATTGTGTTACTTAATTTTGTTATTTTACAAAACGGTCTTCGTCTTCTTCTTCTTCTTCTGCTACGGTCTTCACACACACACACACACACCCTCCTACCCTGTGCGGTCCCTCCACCACCCCTGTTCCAGGCAACCTCAAACCCTTGAGGAGTGGGGGGAAGAGCAATCAGCTCCTCCCCCCACTCCCGCCCAAAGGCCTGGAGTGGCGCTGCGTGGTTCAGGCCGCTTGCGCATTCCCCGAGTGTGTGCTGCCGAACGAGCTATCCCCCCTTCCCCAATTTTGCCCCTTTTTCCCGAAATTTGACTCGATCGCGCACGCGTCGCGGAAGCGCGTGGTGGACGTTTCTTCCAACTGTCGGTTCTCGACTTTATGGCCGGCCTCTTTTCTGGGGGTCCTGCGCTGGGGGCTTTCGACCTAAGCCCCTCCTAAAGGTTGGTGAGCCTTCGCTCTTTCCTCGTCGACTGGAGTCCAGTCAGTCGTCGTCAGTCAGTCATATTTGTAAGTCATTCGTCTCCTGAGGTTAGCCCGAGTCCGTGCTTGACTCTGGCCACCTCATCGACAGGCTTCTTTTTGTCCACCCGTTGTACACGGGCTGTTCTTTCCCCTCTTGGGTGTACAACTATTGTCGGTCTTCTCCCCTTTTCTTTGGCCTGATCAGCTGCTAGGCCAAATATCTTCTTGTTGCAGCTGGCTTTTCGGTCTTTTATGACGCCTTATTGTTCTTGGGTCGTAATCCAAGGCGGCTTCAATCAGCACATTTCTTTTCAAAGAACTTTCTGGCCCTCTCTCTCATCTGGATTACGACCGGTACCTGTCGTAGTTCGTCATATAGCACTCTGTTAGGTACATACCACGGTGCGTCCACCGCTTCACGGAGTGCCATGTTTTGTTGAGCTTGGAGCCTCTTCTTCATCGTTTTGGAACGTAGCCCCAAGCTACTGCTGCGTAAGTCATGATTTGTAGCAGCACCATCTGAATCATGATGGTCTTATTCTTTAGTGACACTTTGCTTCTTCTGCCCGTTAAGGGTCTTAGTTTGGAGCGTGCCATCTTCACTTTCTGCACCCGGTCTTCGACATGGTTCTTCCAAGTGAGTTCTGGTCCATCTTGACTCCAAGGTATGTGCTGGAGTCTTTCCAGTCGACCTCAACCTCTTCATCTCTTCTCCAGCCTCTCTCCATTCTGGTGGTCGTCATCTTTATTTTGGTCTGAGGTAATCTTCGATTTCTTCGGAACAGTACCGCTTCGGTCTTCTCGGGGTTGAGGCGGATCTTCCACTTGATGCACCATTCCTCTAGGTTGGTGGTCGCTCGTTGCAGATATTCCGTAACCATGCGGGGTCTCGTACTTTCTGCCGCATATGCTGTATCGTCCGCATACACATACAGTTGCGTTTGAGGAGTCTTCGGGATGTTCTGAGCTGTAGATTGGATACAGCAGGGTGGTAGAACCGCTCCCTGCGGTACTCCTGCCTCCACAGTCCTCGTCGTCGAGGTTGTTTTACCGATCCTAATTCGGAAATTTCGGTTGCTTCAAGTAGGACTTCACCAGTTGGATCATCCCCTTTGAGTATCCGTGGTCTACCATCTTGTAGATCAGTCCGTCATGCCAAACAGTGTCGAACGCCTTTGCGGCATCCATGAACACAGCTCCCACGGCCCGCCGAGTCTGAACGATTTCGTTGCCATCTCGACCAGCCTTAGGACCTGGTGCTCTGCTGAATGCCCGCATCGGAATCCGAACTGTTCGTCTGGAACTACTCGGAGTTCTTCGGTTTCGTTCTTCAGTCTTCGTTCGATTACCCTTTCCGCAATCTTGCTCAGTGCCGTCAACAGGCTTATGGGTCTGTAGTTTTGGGGGAACCTTGGGTCTTTCCCAGGTTTAGGAATGTTGATCACCTCGGCTACTTTCCAGTGATCTGGAAAGTACCGGTGTCTCAGTATGGCGTTGACGATGTTGGTAATTGCCATTATCGCTTTCTTCCTCGGGAGTCTCTTCAGGACTCTGTTCCAATATCGTCTACACCCGGTGCCTTCTTCACCTTGAGTCTTTCGATGATTCCCTTACCTCGCCTGGAGAGGGCATGTCTTCGATGGCTCTTCTCCTCTGACAGCTCTCCTCGATCTTCTCATCACCTCGTCGATGAAGTCTCGTCTTCATCGGGGTGAGTATTGAGAGTACACTGTCCTCTGAAGGTGTCAGCAAAAGCTTCCGCCTTCTCTTCGGTTGTGTACACCATCCCCTGTTTCGCTGTGTATTGGGGGGATGGGCTGTCTTCTATTTCTGAGGATTTAGCCAAGTTCCACATTCCTGGGTCAGCTGGAGATAGTTCGTCGAGTTTCTTATCCCAGGTGCTCTGATGGTGCTGCTTCAAGGCGTCCTCGTGCCTGTCTCATAAGTCTGTTTGCCACCATGATGTCAGTGGGGCTTCTGGTCTCCTGGGCTACTCTTCGGGCTCTGTTTCTTTCGGTGATCTTGCGATTTACCTCGTCAGGTAGGTCCCTGAACCTGTTTGGTTGCGTTATGTCTCCACGGTGGTTGCGGCTTCTAACGCAGCCTTAATCTTCCTTTCTAGGTCCGTGACCGCTTCTTCTATGCTTTCGGGGCTTTCGATCTGTAGTAGTGGTCCTTGTGAATAGTGCAGTCTGGTTCTAAACCGCTGCCAATTCACTCTCTTCACTGTTCTTTGTTCCACAGGTGTTATCCCATCTCCCGTACAGAGAAAGATGGGGTTGTGGTCTGAGCTTCCCTCTTGCATGGCGCCGATGGTGGTGCGCATGTCGATTTCCTTCAGAATCGCCATATCTATGACGTCTGGTCTACCTCCGTTGCTGGGGTATATTGTAGGTTCGTCCGGACCTATCATGGTATATCCAGGTTCATCCATTAGTCTTCCAGAACAGCGCCGTGACTGTTTCTGTTTCTTGAGCCCCAAATGGTGGACTTCGCGTTTAGATCACCTACGATCACGGTACTGTTTCCCAGTGCAGTGATACAGGTGACATCTTCCAGATATTACGGACTTCTTCTATACATATATATATATATATATATATATATATATATATATATATATATATATATATATATATATATATATATATATATATATATATATATATATATATATATATATAGAGAGAGAGAGAGAGAGAGAGAGAGCGAGAGAGAGAGAGAGAGAGATAGATGAAAAGATTAAAATAACGACCACAGCTAATTATCATTTTGCATTTTATCATAACATAGTGGTTCTGAAAAGAACCGTTTTTTTTTTGTTCTTATTTTTCGAACCGTATAACCGTCGAAGCGAATACAAACGTCTATATTATTTTGAACTGGTGTACTTGGTGACGGCTTTTGGTACCTTCGCTGACCTGCGTGCTTGGCCAATTCTCCCGGTAGCAATAGTCGTACGGCTTGTCTGAATTCTCTGCTAGTTATCGTGGCACGGTTTGTTGTAATGTGCCAATCTGGAAGCTTCCGCAGCGATACGTTCGAAATATCGTTGACGAAGCTGTTCATGATGCTCATCGCTTTGCTGGATATACCCGTATCGGGATGTAACCTGCTTCAGTACTTTGTAGATGTAAATTGCGTAACTTTCTTCCTCCTGCCTTCTTTTTCTTGTCAGATTTGGAGATATTCTTCTGCGCCTTGCCCGCTTTTTTGGCAGCCTTACCGCTAGTTTTGGGTGGCCATTTTATTGTGAGATGATGCTGAGTATAATCGACACCAACGCTCGACTAACGGAACGACTGCCCAACACACACACACACCCTCCTACCCTGTGCGGTCCCTCCACCACCCTGTTCCAGGCAACCTCAAAACCCTTGAGGAGTGGGGGGAAGAGCAATCTGCTCCTCCCCCCACTCCCGCCCAAAGGCCTGGAGTGGCGCTTGCGTGGTTCAGGCCGCTTGCGCATTCCCCGAGTGTGTGCTGCCGAACGAGCTATCCCCCCTTCCCCAATTTTGCCCCTTTTTCCCGAAATTTGACTCGATCGCGCACGCGTCGCGGAAGCGCGTGGTGGACGTTTCTTCCAACTGTCGGTTCTCGACTTTATGGACGCCTCTTTCTTGGGGGTCCTGCGCTGGGGCTTTTGACCTAAGCCCCTCCTAAGGTTGGTGAGCCTTCGCTCTTTCCTCGTCGACCTGGAGTCAGTCAGTCGTCGTCAGTCAGTCATTTTTGTAAGTCATTCGTCTCCTGAGGTTAGCCCCGAGTCCGTGCTTGACTCTGGCCACCTCAATCGACAGGCTTCTTTTTGTTCACACCCGTTGTACACGGGCTGTTCTTTCCCCTCTTGGGTGTACAACTATTGTCGGTCTTCTCCCCTTTTCTTTGGCCTCATCAGCTGCTAGGGCCAAATATCTTCTTGTTGCAGCTGGCTTTTCGGTCTTTTGTGACGCCTTATTGTTCTTGGGTCGTAATCCAAGGCGTCTCTAATCAGGCACGTTCGATGTCTTTCGTTCTTTTCAAAGAACTTTCGGGCCCTCTCTTTCATCTGGATTACGACCGGTACCTGTCGTAGTTCGTCATATAGCACTCTGTTAGGTACATACCACGGTGCGTCCACCGCTTCACGGAGAGTGCCATGTTTTTGTTGAGCTTGGAGCCTCTTCTCATCGTTTTGAAACGTAGCCCCAAGCTACTGCTGCGTAAGTCATGATTTGTAGCAGCACCATCTGAATCATGATGGTCTTATTCTTTTAGTGACACTTTGCTTCTTCTGCCCGTTAAGGGTCTTAGTTTGGAGCGTGCCCATCTTCACTTCTGCACCCGGTCTTCGACATGGTTCTCCCAAGTGAGTTTCTGGTCCATCTTGACTCCAAGGTATGTGCTGGAGTCTTTCCAGTCGACCTCAACCTCTTCATCTCTTCTCCAGCCCTCTCTCCATTCTGGTGGTCGTCATCTTTATTTTGTCTGAGGTAATCTTCGATTTCTTCGGAACAGTACCGCTTCGGTCTTCTCGGGGTTGAGGCGGATCTCCACTTGATGCACCATTCCTCTAGGTTGGGTGGTCGCTCGTTGCAGATATTCCGTAACCATGCGGGGTCTCGTACTTTCTGCCGCATATGCTGTATCGTCCGCATACACATACAGTTGCGTTTGAGGAGTCTTCGGGAGTCCGAGCTGTAGATTGCATACAGCAGGGGTGATAGAACCGCTCCCTGCGGTACTCCTGCCTCCACAGTCCTCGTCGTCGAAGTTGTTTTACCGATCCTAATTCGGAATTTTCGGTGCTTCAAGTAGGACTTCACCAGTTGGATCATCCCATTTGAGTATCCGAGGTCTACCATCTTGTAGATCAGTCCGTCATGCCAAACAGTGTCGAACGCCTTTGCCGGCATCCATGAACACAGCTCCCACGGCCCGCCGAGTCTGGAACGATTTCGTTGCCATCTCGACCAGCCTTAGGACCTGGTGCTCTGCTGAATGCTCGCATCGGAATCCGAACTGTTCGTCTGGAACGACTCGGAGTTCTTCGGTTTCGTTCTTCAGTCTTCGTTCGATTACCCTTTCCGCAATCTTGCTCAATGCCGTCAACAGGCTTATGGGTCTGTAGTTTTGGGGGAACCTTGGGTCTTTCCAGGTTTAGGTATGTTGATCACCTCGGCTACTTTCCAGTGATCTGGAAAGTACCGGTGTCTCAGTATGGCGTTGACAATGTTGGTAATTGCCATTATCGTTTCCTCGGGAGTCTCTTCAGGACTCTGTTCCCAATTTCGTCTACACCCGGTGCTTTCTTCACCTTGAGTCTTTCGATGATTTCCCTTACCTCGCCTGGAGAGGTCATGTCTTCGATGGCTCTTCCTCCTCTGACAGCTCTCCTCGATCTTCTCATCACTCGTCGATGAAGTCTTCGTCTTCATCGGGGTGAGTATTGAGAGTACACTGTCTCTGAAGGTTGTCAGCAAAAGCTTCTGCCTTCTCTTCGGTTGTGTACACCATCCCCTGTTCGCTGTGTATTGGGGGGATGGGCTGTCTTCTGTTTCTGAGGATTTTAGCCAAGTTCCACATTCCTGGGTCAGCTGGAGATAGTTCGTCGAGTTTCTTATCCCAGGTGGCTCTGATGGTGCTGCTTCAAGGCGTCCTCGTGCCTGTCTCGTAAGTCTGTTTGCCACCATGATGTCCGTGGGGCTTCTGGTTCTCCTGGGCTACTCTTCGGGCTCTGTTTCTTCGGTGATCTTGCGATTTAACCTCGTCAGGTAGGTCCCTGAACCTGTTGGTTGCGTTATGTCTCCACGGTGGTTGCGGCCTTCTAACGCAGCCTTAATCTTCCTTTCTAGGTCCGTGACCGCTTCTTCTATGCCTTCGGGGCTTCGATCTGTAGTAGTGGTCCTTGTGAATAGTGCAGTCTGGTCTAAACCGCTGCCAATTCACTCTCTTCACTGTTCTTTGTTCCACAGGTGTTATCCCATCTCCCATACAGAGAAAGATGGGGTTGTGGTCTGAGCTTCCCTCTTGCATGGCGCCGATGGTGGTGCGCATGTCGATTTCCTTCAGAATCGCCATATCTATGACGTCTGGTCTACCTCCGTTGCTGGGGTATATTGTAGGTTCGTCCGGACCTATCATGGTATATCCAGGTTCATCCATTAGTCTTTCCAGAACAGCGCCGTGACTGTTTCTGTTTCTTGAGCCCCAAATGGTGGACTTCGCGTTTAGATCACCTACGATCACGGTACTGTTTCCCAGTGCAGTGATACAGGTGACATCTTCCAGATATATCGTCGATGTGGGTGGTACGTACATCGAAACGATGTTCAGAGGGCCGTGGTCTGTTGTGCGTACCGTCACTCCTACGGCCTCTGCTGATCTTAGTTCTGGCAGTCCCATTTCCCAGTGGGTAATGCTGGTCTTGCAGAGTAGCACCCCACCTCCGGTTCTGTTCCGGTCCTTTCTGTATGTCGTGTATCCCTGTATCGTCCAGTGTGGGATTTCCCCAGAGAGCCACGTTTCTTGTAATGCCATTACATCATAGTTTCCTTTTGTTAGGACTTCGCCTATCTCATATTTCTTGTTGGAGACGCTGTGGACGTTCCAACTCAATATCTTCAGGCCCCTATTTGCAATGGTTATTGGAGTGCCCATTTGGAGTTTTGGTCAGTGCTTCCCTCTGTTTAGGCGTATTTTTGCTCCAGATGAGCGAAATACGCCTTTTTGGCCGCCGGGTTCTTCATCACCAGTGACATCATTTGTGATGCGTGCTTGGTGGCGAAATCGGTCAACTCCTCGACGTCGCTGTCTTTGGCACTGCTGGCCTGAGCGACTGGGGCCACTTTAGTTGCCCCAGCTGTCGTCGACGCATAACTACGGCCCTCCTGGACTGGACTAGGCCTAGTTATGGTTTTGGGTGCTGGCGCTGCTCGCGCTGCGCCCCTTGGTGCCGTCTTTTTGTCCCTTGGCCCTGCACTCGGCCTCTTTGGGCATCCTCCAAAGTTTGCGGGATGCTCTCCCCCGCAGTTGATACATTTCGCGGGTTTTTCATTTGGGACCTTGCAGTCCGCCGCTCTGTTTTCCTGCGCATCTGACGCAGCGCGGCTCTCCCGTGCAGTTCATCTGGCTGTGGCCAAATTGTTGGCATCGGTAGCACTGACCTGGTCCTGTCTTCTTCTTTAGTGCCTCCACTTGGATCACCATGTGGCAAACGGCGTTTATTTTGTAGATCCCCGTCTCTTCCTTCGGGAGATCTACTTTTACCAGCGGTATGGTTTTTCCAGTCCTCCTGCTGGTCATCCTGTTCACCGTCTTTGGGTGGAAGCCTTGCCTGGCCAAGTCTTCTGCGATCTCTTGGCAGGTGGTTATTCTCGGTATTCCCCTTATTACCACTCCCAGTGGCTTATCTTCCGGTAGGGAGTAGGTATGATGCTCTATCTTAGCATCTTCGAGCGTTTTGCGGATCTTTCTATAGTCATCGCTGTCCTTCGGCTGGACTTTAATGCCTACTCCGGTTAGCCGTGCAGGCTTTCAATTGTGAGCAACTTCTTGCTCACTACCTCTTTCCACTTCTTCCCTATGGATGTACAGTGGTGGGGGCCTCTTTTCCTTTTTCTTGTTTCCCTCCGTCAAGGGTTTGGGCGTGGAGGACTGGTCCATCTTTTCCACTCGGCCGGGGTCTTAGTTGCCGATGTGGACGCTTGCTCGTGTTTGAGTGCCTTTTTTCCTGGGGGCTTCTTCTTTCTTGCCTTCATCTGAGGAGGTACTATGCCTCCTCTTCTCTTTCTTTTGGCTCTGAGCCTTTTCTTGGGGGCATCGATCTCGATGCCCTGTTTTGCTGCCAGTTCTCAATCAGCCCTGGCGTTCTTTCGCGCTCTTCGGCGCTTGCCCTTCTTTCTTCTATCAGCTGGCGGGTTAGATCCGTCAGCTGGCAAGATAGCTCGGCTATCTGCTTCTTAAGGGCGTCATTCTCTTTCTCAGTTCCTGAGAAAGCCCCTTCTCGGTCACCCTCTTCGTCTTCGCTGGACGATGAGTAGACGTTCTCTTCGTCGTCCAGCATTTTCTCCACGGTTTTTGAGCGTGTCCCGCTCTACCTCGCTCTCCTCGTCCGACATTTCTCCTTCGCTGTCGACTTTTCGCAAAGTTCGACTTTTACAATTTCCAGTTGTGCCGCGCGCGCTGGAATTGTGTAATTTTTGTGCACTGGTGCCCTTTCGGGCTCACTGCACTTCGCGGGTTTTGTTTGCGTCCTTTTTCGCGATGTTCCCCTTTTACACAATTTCCGACGAGTGGAAACTGTGTAAAGGTTTTTCGGTACGCCCGATTTAAGGCTTTGCCTTTGGGTGGGCGTCACCCTCGCGTGCCGGCGCTGTTCCGCGTCTCCGCGCGTCGGTCGCGTCTCGGTCGCGCGCGTGTCGCGTGGTCGCTTGTCGCGTGGTCGCGTGTCGCGTGGTCGCGTGTCGCGTGGTCGTGTGTCGCGTTCGGTCTCACTATCCTCGGCGTGGTTCACAACGTTGATTGAACGTGGGAGCACGGAACGACTGCAATTCTCTGCCGTATTTAAGACAGGTGACGTTACGACCGTAGACTCCGCCCCCAGGCGTTTGCCGGCAAAACGTTCGCGTCGATTGGTCGGTTAGTTCATATAAATACAACGTTCGCGGAGATCATGTTTGTGCATTTGCAAGTTCATAGTCGACGTCGTTCGTTTAGCAGATTAACAAATTGAATATGTCAGGACGCGGAAAAGGCGGTAAAGTTAAGGGAAAGGCAAAGTCCCGATCCAGCAGGGCCGGCCTACAATTTCCCGTCGGTCGTATCCACAGGTTATTGCGAAAAGGGAATTATGCTGAACGCGTCGGTGCCGGAGCTCCCGTATATCTAGCGGCCGTTATGGAATACTTGGCCGCTGAAGTTTTGGAATTGGCAGGCAACGCTGCTCGCGACAATAAAAAGACCCGTATTATTCCACGTCATCTGCAATTGGCCATCAGAAACGACGAAGAATTGAACAAATTGCTTTCAGGCGTCACAATTGCCCAAGGAGGAGTTCTCCCTAATATCCAAGCTGTTTCTTTTGCCGAAAACGACGAGAAGAAAGCCTAAAAAAAAAAATCTTCTGAACATACAATCGGCCCTTCTCAGGGCCAACAGTAATTTAATAGAAAATGAGGGATTATCATTTGTATATGGAAAAATTTTCTCAGGGTGATATCGGATCGGTTGTGGCGCGAGAAGTTGGCAATAACTAAATTATTTAATCGAGGCATCTCATCGTCGCATTCACGTCTAATATTCGCCGGTATCTCGATAATGGGACATATCGGGACCGAAATCGTCGATTATTGTAATTCAAAGAGCCAAAACGTATAAGTCGATCAATTTCTCATATTCCGATAAACTCATTTATGTGAGTGTTTTTTTTATTTGTATAAAAAAAAATAGAAAATTAATGTGGCGGTTCAATCGGCAGATCCATTCTTTCTCACGAAGAGTATGGTGGTTCTGAAAAGAACCGTTTTTTTTTTTTCTTTGTATGTATTTTCGTTCAACCTGTACCTTGGTAATTGCTGCGGAGTGTTTAACCCCGAATCGTACAAAGTGCGTCCTTTCTCTTTAATGCATATACGACGTCCATTGCAGTGACTGTCTTCCTTTTAGCGTGCTCGGTGTAAGTGACTGCATCCCTGATTACGTTCTCTAAAAAGACTTTGAGCACTCCTCGAGTTCTTGTAAATCAATCCGGATATACGTTTTATCCTCCACGTCGCGCCAATCTTCTTATGGCCGGTTCGTATTCCCTGGATGTTATCCCTCAAAACTTTACGATGCCTTTTCGCTCCTCCTTTCCCAATCCTTTACCCTTTACCGCGTCCAGTCATTTTCAAGATTCTCTCGCACGTCGAACTGTTAAAGCGCACGGGCTGTTGCCAACTGACGGTACTCTCTCGTGACGCCCGGTTTTGTTAGCGTTGTCGTCCCTCCTATTGGTCTATCAATTGGCCAATCAGGCTGTTTCGTATTTCGAGCCCATATAAATATAACTGTTCGCGGTGTTACCTCCGCTCACTATATTGTCCGTTGCAATATTCACGTCGCTGCTATATAGATAATTTATATTCAGTTATCTGAAATTTAACGTAATGGCGCGTACCAAGCAGACGGCTCGTAAATCCACCGGAGGTAAAGCTCCCAGGAAGCAATTAGCCACGAAGGCTGCCCGTAAAAGTGCTCCTGCTACTGCGGAGTTAAGAAAACCTCACGTTATCGTCCGGGAACTGTGGCTCTCAGAGATTCGTCGTTATCGAAAAGTACCGAATTGTTGATCAGAAAATTGCCTTTCCAACGGCTGGTCCGTGAAATAGCGCAAGATTTCAAGACCGATTTGCGATTCCAAAGTTCTGCTGTAATGGCACTCCAAGAAGCTCGAAGCGTACCTGGTCGGACTATTCGAGGATACGAACTTGTGCGCGATCCACGCTAAGCGAGTAACGATCATGCCGAAAGATATACAGCTGGCAAGACTTATGGGCGAACTGCCTAATGGAATTGACGGATTTACTATTTGCCGGAAAGAGAGAGAGAGAGAGAGAGAGGTACGCGTGCGATAATAGGTTATAAAAAAAAACGGTCTTTCAGACCATCATATAGTATGTCAGAAAAAGGGATCGTGTATTATGTTAAGTATATCAGATTGTTGTTTGTACGCGTGCAATTTCGACACTATTATCGTGTATGCAAAATAGCGCTAAATGGTTATACGATAGTCGCTAGTTATTACCCGTTATCCTCTATCGAAGGATTGTGGTGCTTTGTGTAAACCGTTACATTGATATTCTTCTAATAACGTACGAATTGTATGTATGTGTATGGAAGTAAAATAACTTATAAGTAGCATGTGATTATATGTAGATAATTCGACATAATATAGATATTTTGCCGTATATATTGCTTAGGCGTTTAGGCAGGCTGTTAGCGTGTAATACGTAACATTAGGTACTTTCACGTAGATCAAAAGTCAGTAATGCGTACGTCTAATAATTAATATGTGTAAGAGATGAATTTATAACTCGATCGCTCGTATATATATCTAATATTTTTCTACTCTGGCTTATTTATTACGAATAATAGCTTGATGTCTCATTCTTATATCTATTTTGTCATATTACGGAGTAGTAATTTAAAATTATCGCGATATATTTCGCGACTGTGCACGTTCGGATGTACGCCATACATACCTCCGTATAATTGCGATTATCTAAAATACCTTATCCTTAGCCGTATACCGACAGTATAATTGTATTACGAATAGTCGTAGATTGTTAATTTCATGAAACTATCTAAATATAACGTATTCGTATAATCTAAATTAGATCAAAAAGCCGGACGATTAGGTCCAAGCGGATACCTTGCACGTTTCACCTATATTTATCGTGTACGTAGCGTACGTGATCAAGTCGCGA